TTCAGACGTGTGCTCTTCCGATCTCCCCAAAACCCCAAAACCCCAAAACCCCATTTGATTATAATATAAAGTATCAAACTTATGAAAATAAATATTTGGATAATATTTAGAGAACCATTAATTACTATGAAGCTGCAGTATATATTGCTTGCCCAAAATTATTATTAGAATTATAAAGCATTTATAGAAGGGACTGATCATATATTCACATTACTTATTTGGTATTGTTATTAGTAGCATGTTCATCATTAATAACTTCCCCATCACCAGTTGCGGTACTTGAAAATTTATTCATTCTTCGAGCCCTGTTTTTACTCAGAATATTTGCATATCTCTACTGTTAAAGATTCTACTATTCGAATTGCTGTTCCTCAAGTTATTAAGAGCCGCCATTTAAAATGCTCTTTTGCTTTTTCCTACGCTGACTTTGGCTTTGCAATTACTCGTTTGGAGGTGTCATAATATTCGTAGGAGATGATAGTTGAGTGCTAGGTAGTTAATTCAGGTTCAGTTTTGGCTTTGTACCCACTAAATTTAAGCCATTGTTAATTCGTGGAGTAGAATGCATTGATATGCTCTAAATATCTGATCCAACAAGTGCTGGCTTATTTTTGAATTTATTTTGAACTACAGAATTACCAATACTTCCCCATTTAGAGCTTTACTTTGATGCTGATGGTGGATTTTACAGCTAAATGCCTCCATTATTTATTGGACTAAATGCACCCTAAAATCCCTCTTATGGCGTAACACTTCCTCCATAAAGCTCAGTCTACCCGCTCATTATATTTTGATTGTATTCATATCTGTCACTTGCAATTCTTAAGGGCTGTAGACTACTCTGTGGGTTGTTTGGGGATGATGGATTACTTAATATGCTTCTCATTCGGTTTTCACTATCAGCAGTAGGAGTATATTTTTTTATGAACCCGTTTCCCTCCTAGGAACTACCTCTAAATATCTTCTTAGGCTTTGACCTAGATAGACTTTGTCCATTTAGATTCACATGATTATTATGCTATGAAATTGTTTTTCGGTTTTACTCAAAGTTTTCACTTAAATTCGACTACTTAGCTGAATGAGTTCCTGACTTTGCTTGAGATTATTCATTATCTTCTTCTGAGTCAGAATTTCTTGCTTCCTCAATTGACTACTACTGGATAGTGCTAGCTTTACTGGCTAGACTGTTTTAATTGCTATAATAATTCATCTTTTATTCAACCTTCTTCGCTGACTAATCTTGATTAGTTGTACTTTTTTAACCAGAATTTAATCTCCCAGACATATTAAAGTTACCTCCATTTATCATGTTTTATATATTTTTATTTGCAGACACTTGATTTTATGATGGAGAATTTTCTAGAGTTACATGGGATTTCGCAAAGTTTTGAGGCCTTTCAATTTCCTCTGAGGTAATATCTATATTTGGCAAGAAAAGATGTTAGTTCAATGATTACGGTCTGAATCTTTCCTCGCTAAGTTATATTTTATTTTGACCCTAGTTAATCAGGTCATTCTTAAGTGTTTTCCTGAAATTTTTGAATGAGACTATTACAGCTGTTATATTATCTAAGGTTCTACTAGCAACAGCTGCTTTCAACACCAATTCTACACTCTATCCACAAATAGAATGAATTGATTGAGTTGATTGCTTGAAGTTTTTCCTTGCTGCATCCCAGGCTGCATCAATGACTTATCTATTATCTAACTTATCAAACACTCCATCACCTAAATTTATCAGCAAAGTATTTATTCATACATGCTAAGAGAATGTAATCATAATTAGATTAAACCTTGAACGCTCTTATTTCAGGGTCAGCTACGATTACTTTCGGATTACCTCCATATTTCGGTTTTTTCGCCTCTATATCTCCAAAAGTTCTAGAAACTGAGAGTCTTCCTGGTAGAACTCTGAAAGGTCCCAAAATAACTTAGTCCTGTCCTGCCATAGATTTGTTTTAAAATCCAGATGGTGATATCATTCCATTTCCTGGTAATCTTGCAATAGTTTAAGTTCTATAATAATTTTCAACATAAAACCAATTATCTTACTGATAAATCTTTCCACCAGCCTCAGTGATTCTTTTCTATTCTGCATCATCATTTGGTTTATGGTCATTAGATAATAAGCCGATGAAATTACCACCATCTAATGACATTAAAGCTCTGCTATCTCCAACGTTTGCAATATAACATATATCATCTATAATTCAATATTTTAAAAAAGAATTACCAACAAATAAGCTTGTAATAGCACATGAGCCACTTTTATCTAAGAGGTTAATGTTTCCATTTGAGTATTTTTCAACAGCATCTATGAAATAGGTTTCTGCATTCCTAAAGCCATTAATTATAGCCTATCGAGGATTGTCTGGGAATTCATGATCTCTTATGATAAATTAATGCAAATTATCCCTCAGGAAATCTGCACATGAGTAACCTCCATGGCCATCGAATATGCCAAAGAATGCACACTTGGGCCAATTATCACATTTTTTACTTGGTGGCTTCATTATATTTAAAATGATAGAAACTCGATCCTCATTATAGTCTCTAATGATGCCTTAGTTGGTATTTGCTGAATATCCACTAATAACGCCATTCTTTCGAACTGAGCATTTTGTTGGCTCAAAGTTAGGCAATTATACAGTGTAAGGATCTGGTGGTGGGGCATTCCCAAATAGCAAAGTATTTATATCCATAATATTTTGTGGTTAAGGACTTAGAGAGTTTAAAGGAGAATTGATGATAACTGGTGTCTATGATAGTATTTGTCCTTAGGCGTGATTCGGGGATCCAATTAAATTGCTATTAAAGATTGATGTTGTCGGACTATGATTTACGGATACTTTGCTTGAGAAACTTTTAATTTTGTTGTTTGAGACTGGCCTTAGCCCATTTTATTGGATAGGGATATTCTATTTCATATCTTTTTACTGGAAGGCACCATTAGCTTTACCTTCACTGTTTTGCACATTCGCCTAGCCATGCTGTGCTGTTTACTAGTTTATACTATTGATATCTTTATTTGTGTTATATAAGAAATTTTATCCTCCTGCAGGAGCTTAATATTTATTGATATTCTAGCTTCCATCACCTGTTTGAAGTCTGTTTTGGTTCGCAGCTATTAAAAGGTTAAGAATTTTTAAAAGGGGATACTATACCTGACTATGTTGCTGGCCCTCCTTGTCCGTTTGATTGTTGACTCTATCCATTTAACGGTGTATTTCGACTTCCACCTGTCTTCAGCGGTTTGCCAATTTTGTTTTGACCTGAAACTCCCATATGCTCTTGAGTCTGCGAAAGAGGAGTGAGAGTGGTTTATCCGGTATTAATCATAGGAGGCAGAAAAAGTCCTGAATTATTAGAAGGTGTGCTCACTTAATTTTGCTGATTGGTTTATTGCTGATTTTGATTGAAATTAGAGAGCTACTGCTGTTATTGCTAAATCAAAAGTCCACCTCCATTGTTGCTCCTTCACTTATTCTTTATAGAGTAATTATTAATCCCATTAATTTTTGCTTAATCTAAAAATACTTACAATCTACTATTTACTTTCATTGCCATTTATAGTCTCATATTGATTACCTTGTCTTGATTAAGGAGTTGTTTTGACGAACCCAGTTGCCATTAAAATGTATATTCTTATAATTTCTTTAAATATATTAAATCATCCCTCAATCTAAACAATCATAATCCTATGGGGTTTTGGGGTTTTGGGG